AATATTAACGAAGACACTACCGCAATTAAAGGCCCCTTACATTTGCATCCTTTGCTTCCCCTGATTCCAACATGGTAAATTCATTTGAAATGAGCATGTGTGTGTATGTGGTTAACCTCACATAGTTCAACCACAATATAAATTACTTACTAACTTTACTTTTTGAATTCTTTGAAATTATTATTGCCATTCATATTTTGTGCTATTTGTTGGTGTTCAGACAAAAAACAGAAAAAACGAAAACCAAATTTGTTATTTTTCGGAAACCATGTGTGTTGTGGTAGAAGTGAGCAAAAAAATGTTGTCATATTTTTAATGAAAATTAAATACGAGGAAATTTGGTAAATAGTAGAAGGTCACAACAACAAACAAAATTGTTGCAGTTTGATATTGACATATTAATATTTGAATTTTGTTTTTAAGCACTCAACAAAAATTAATAAAAACAAGTGAAAAAGCTTTAAGTTCGGCCCGGCCGAACTTATGGAGGATACCCTCCACCATAGGAATACTGACAGTTACGTGAAATGAAAATATGGGGAACATATCAAAATATGGACCTATAACGAAAATTCTACCAATCGTTTGTTGCAATCTATAGCACTGTGGTACAGGGTATTATGTCTTTGTTACAGGCAAAAAGAAATGAGATAGACACGTTTCCTTTTGAGAATATGCATATAATCACTTTCTTAGTCGATTTTTGTATGCCCGTCCGTCTGTCTGCCCATGTTAAATTGTAAACAAAGTACAAGTCGCATTTATGATCCGAATTATATAAAATTAGGCAAAGCTCATTTATTTGGCCTTAGGACGAACCCAATTGAAAATGGAGAAAATCGGTTCAGATTTAGATATAGCTCTCATATAGAGTTTCGTCAGATTTTTTGTATACAGCCCACCAAAGACCCAAAGTAAGGCCGATTAGGACAAAATTTTGCACAACGTACTCAAGTTACTATAACATAGCGTGTGTAAAGTCTTCTTGAAATCTGTTCAGATTTGGATATAGCTCCCATATATATTATCGTCCGATTTTATGCAAAAGATGCACCTCGGACCCAAAATATGATCGATAGCAGCAAAATATACTAAAATTAGTATAACCTATTCTGTGACAAGTTTCTTTGAAATCGATTCATATCTGGATATAGCTTGCATATATTATAAGCAAATGGTGCACCAAACTCCTCCTGTTTGTCAGATTGACATGCAATTTTGCAACACGTACAAAATTAGGCATAGAATGCCGTAGGTGCATTTTGTAGAAGAACACACATAGCTCAACGGATGTCCGGTTGATTTTTGCTTGAAATGGATTGATCTAAGTCAGTTCATATTTAGATAAAGACAACATATTTTGGTTCATCCAATTTCATGTTAATGGTCCTTCAAAAAAAAAAAAATATATTCGATACGCCGCACTGTCAAAAAATATAATTTCATTCGAAATACATATGGAAGCTATGGCTGCATCTGCACCAATTTCAACAAAACGCAGTAACGTCATACGTTGTGCAAAATTTCCTGTTAATTGAACAAACATTAGGAGTTTGGTGCATCAATTATGTAAAATCGAACGAATAAATAAGCATATGTTGGAGATATATCGAAATCTGAACCGATTTTCCACACATCATTCTAGACCCAATTCATTACGCTATGTCAAATTTCGTGCAAATAGAAATATATATAGAGACTTTGGTGCACCATTTACATAATATCGGACGAAAATATATATGGAAGCTATATAGAAATCTGAACCGATTTTCCCGAAACTTACCACCATCACTTCAGATTCAATTCAGTAGGCTATGCCAAATTTTGAGCAAATCAAATGATATATAAGGACTTTGGTGCACTACTTACCTAAAATCGGACGAAAGTTTATATGGGAACTATATCTAAATCTGAACCGATCTTCACGAAATTTAATACACATCACTATAGACTTTATTTAGTACGCTATGCCTTATTTCGTTTAAATTTAAAGATATATAGGGACTTTGGTGCACCATTTACATAAAACCGGCCAAACTATATGGGAGCTATACCTAAACCGATTTTCACTAAACTTGGCAGACATCACTTTTGGCTGAATTCAGTACGTTATGCAAAATTTCGTGCAAATCGAAAGATATATATGGACTTTGGTGCACCATTTGGAATATATATATATATATATATATATATTTGGGAGCTATATCCAAATCTGAAATCACCGAAAATTTTAGGCGTTATCCTTGCCCATAATTGGAACTTCATGGAACATTTTAAAGCGATCAGCGCTATATTTCCGCCCTCTAGTGTGGTAAAGGGTTACTAAATAATATCTGAATACATAAGCACCTGTAAATGTTTAAATGTAACTCCCACATCTGAGTACATATAATTGGTATTAATTTAAAGGTCAACCACTGCCCTTGAATATACCAACAACTTTTCGGGTCTATGTCCTTCAGGGGTAAATCTATACGCTATAGAATACAAATTTTGCATTTTTTCACACAAAAGTCAGGGTCCATTTGACCCGCTAAATATTGACCGATCCTTATCAAAACAGGCAAGCTTATTCTGTGGCCCGATTCCCTTCTCTATGTAAAAATTCGCGATGTTTGGGTCATAATTGCGGTCTCTAGAGCGACCAGAAAAACCGATAAAAATTAAGTATTTGGTCCATTTCATCCCCTAAATATTAACCGATCTTTACCAAATAGGGGTCTTCATTGGCCAGAACCCATTCTACATGCAAAATTTCGTGAAGATTGGTTAATAACTGTGGCCTGTATCGTGTTTACAAAATATAATTGACAGACGGACGGACAAACTCTTGGGGCTGCACAAAGCTATAATACCCTGACAACATAGTTGTGTAGGGTATAATTAAAGCAACGACCAGCACAAAGTCGCAATATTTAAGATAGAACTCTGAAATTTTTCACATACATTGCTATTACTCCTAGAATGTTTGGTATTACAAATGGGGTATATCGGTCCACGTTTTGGGGTAGCCGCCATATAACTGTACCCTCCAATATTCGGCATTTTGGGGATTTTGCACGCGTTTTCAATTAATTTAGCTGTAATTTCGTATTTTCGGTTCCCATTGTGTAACATATCTCCGTACAAAAAATTATTAATAATGATCCAAGTTTCAGGGAAGTCCCCATATCCCATATTATAAATATGGGCATCTGTTTTATTGTAGCTCCATATCACGACAGCCTCACTATTAGATGCTTTGAGAATTAATTAATTAATGTTTGAGAATTAATAGTTTTTCTCACGTATTGTTCGGCATGTTCAAGGTCCTATCATAACATTAGTTTTCTCCTAGGAGATATTTTGAATGCCATCCTTATGGTGGAGGGAATAATTAGAGAAGCTAAAAACTAATTTGCAGCTAACTAGGTTGAAAAACATTGCCGAAATATCGAATATCGGTGAGAGCTACCGTTGTATGGGATCATTACTAAAACATTATATCGAGTGGTTTTAACTAAGGCTGAAGTAAGCTCAGTCGCTGTCAGGGTGTACCTAACGATCCACAAAAACACCAGTGATTACAATTTCAATATTTATTATAATACTCTGGTGTTTACAATATGAATAATAGTTTGGATTTGAGGTAAACATTTATGTGTTGATGGTTGAAATCTTTTAATCGTGGTATTGGTGGCTGGGTGGCTCGTTAATAGCCGGCTGGCTACAGTCGGCTCGAAGATACTCGGCTCGTTAGTGATCGACTGGCTACTCGGCTAACTGATTGTTGGTCGGCTGGTTCGGATTGGTCAGGACTCGGTTAGTAGTTAGTGGGTGTTAGTGTGGCTACCAGGGCTGCCAGATTTGTTTTTTGGAAAATCGTCAAAATGACGATTTTTTGAGCACAAATCGTCAAACCCATTTTATAAAATCGTCAAAAATTGAAATTTTTCTAAATTAACATTTAGATATATTTAAATATATTCTTTTTATTAAAAGGAACATAAAATAGGTATTCAATTTATTAAACACGTTTGTACTTAAAGCTAATCAAGAAATTAATTTATTTTATAAATAAATATTTGAATAGGCATTTCGACTTTTATGAAGTCATTCATTTTGTAAATAAATATTTGAGTTAATCATTTTCAACATGTCGGTTTTAATTAATGTATCATAACAATTTGTTTTGTTAATTTTCAAATAATCTTTGGTATAAAGTATACCCTCCATTGAATCCTTATTGAGGGAATTTCGACTTTTCGTTTTATTAAGGTTTACTTGACTGAAAACACGCTCAACATTTGTTGAGGAATGGGGTAATACCATTATCTTCCGAACAAATTTAGTTATTATAGGAAAAACATATGAACCATCGCCACGTTTCAAATCAAATATTGCATTCTAAAAGCGAAATAAATCCGTTTCATTATTTTCACAAATGTTATTAAAATCAAACAACCTTAGTTCGCGAAATTCTGAATCCAATTTTTGTTTTTCATCTTCGTTTACAAAATGTGGAAATTCTTTAAGGATATCGAAAAATGAATTTTTTTTTTCATTTCTAATATACGTGGGACTTATCATAGATAAACTTTTAAAAATGCTTTCAAAATCGAATCTTTTTAAAATTTGTGTACAAAGTTCAATATAAAAATTTATACAGTTATTATATATTTTACTCGTTTCACTTGAATTAAGTTTTTTTTTGTTAACAATTCCTTTGCATGTATGCCCAAATATATGTGATCATTGTCTAAGAAATTGTTTCTATTATTAAAATCAACTAAATATATCTGATCAGTCTTTAAAAATTCATGTTTTACAAAATTACTTATAACAGTCTTGAAAAGTATTTCCATTTGAGAATATAGATTATGTATTTCCGTTGTTTCACTTTGAAACATTTTGTTTATATTAGTAATAATTGCTAGAATATATTTTAAAAATGACAAGTAAATTTCATTAGTATCATTTAAGTTTTCAAATATAATATTAGCAGTATCAATTTTGTCGACATTGGCCGCAAATGGAAAGTAAATTTTTAAGGGTTCATAAAGTTCCAAAATCCGGATAACAACCGATTCTAAAGACAACCACCTTGTTTGACTTGGATGCAACATTTTTTTTGGACGAATGTCCAACAGTTTTTGGATTTCTTTATATAGGTTGCATCTTTTAGGACTGTTAGAAATGTAATTAAAAATATTCCTTGCCAATGTCTCAACTGCTGAAGGTAGTTGCAGACATGCATATGAAGAGCATAAAGCCAAAGAATGACATATACATTTATACATATACAATCAAGTGAGGAATATAATTCTTCAAAAGCGTCGCAACTGAATGATTTTTGCCAGTCATTACAGATGCTCCATCGGCGGCAAATCCAATCATGTTTCTTTTGTAATCTATACTATTTCTATTAAATTGATCAACTACTAAATTATATAAACTTTTAGCATCACACTGATCAACATTAAGTAATCCAAAGAAAAGATCATGTATTTGATAATCAACAAAAACTCGAACAACCAAACATAACGATTTCATATTTGAAAGATCCGTGGACTCGTCCACGCACAAGGAAAATGTGTTGTTCTTTAAAAGCTCACAAACAATCGCATGTTGTTTCTTACCAGTTACGTTTTTTATAATCGAAGTAGCTTTGGTCCGACCAAGTGTCATATTTTTAGCTATATCGGAGTCCGTAAATGAGCTTTGACAAACGTTGGTCATGTGGTCAGCAACTAGAAATGGAAGGTTGTGCTCCACAATAAAGAGGCACAATCGTATTTCTGCCTTCTTGATACCAACGTTTTGATTGGGAACAAACACTTCATCTATTTTTTTCTGATTTAGTGTAATAGAACTGGCCGCAGCTTGATGTTTTTTTGTGTGCGAATGAGCTAAAAGGTCAGCTATTCCAGATGAAACTTTAAGGTCACAATTACAGAATCCACAAAAAATATGGTTGTTTTTTTTCTGCGCCCAATTTTTAATGTCTGGATGTTCCATCCAATCATTCTTTAACTTGCGCCTTTTTCTGCAATCCTAAAGTAAATATTAGGATTTGAATGCTTTGTTTTCATAAATGCATTTATTAAATTTTACCAATGTCGAACTATTCGATGTACCAACATCTTCATCACCAGGGTCAGAGTTTCTTGCTGAAATGTTTTATAAAACCATATAATATTTCTCCTGATATCTGCCAAAGCCGACACTTACCACCGTCTCTGTTTAAAAATTTGTCCATAATTCCTTTAAAACCAGCAATTATTAAGAACTTGTAATAACTTTGTACTCAACTTTTCCGTTCACCAATTTTATTTCATTTGCCCGTGTCATAAAACAAAAACCGTTAACTTTCGTTTGTTTTGTTGCTGTCTATCCAGAGAACAGCACAGCTGATTGGTATTTTCATCCAAACATAAACTGTTGTTGGCTTTGTGACAATAAAAAGTATACCTCACACGCAAACACACATATGCCAAATATTCATCTTCTTTTTACTTTTTTCTTTCGCTTTATACATTTTTGTTGTTGCCATAACAAAAAGAACCCAAATATTGCCATATTAGTAAAATGACCAAAAATCGTCATTTTCTGGGCAAAAATCGTCAAATCGTCATTTTTCAATTTTTGACTAAAAAATCGTCAAAATGACGATAAATCGTCAAATCTGGCAGCCCTGGTGGCTACGTCTGGGGAGCTAGCTATGAGCGGGGAGCTGGCTATGAGCGAGAAGCTTTCAACGACCAGGGAGCTGGCAAAGAGCGTGGATCTGGCTATGAGCGAGGAGCTGGCAAAGAGCGGGGAGCTGGATATGAGCGGGGAGCTGGCAATGAGCGGGGAGCTGGCTATGAGCGAGGAGCTGGCAAAGCGAGGCCGAAACCTTTTTGGCATTTACCAGTACACGAGTCTGTGGACGAGCCACACATCTTCGTCACTCGGAGTTCGTTTACGTCCGAGATCGACCCCTTCGGCATGGAAAAGTGGAACATATATCCGTATGGTACTACGAAGTGAATGAGAATTATTGTGTACTTCAAGAAAAGTGTCTGTCGATTAATGCATTGAGTATGAACAAAACAGGTAATTATGCCGGCTTAGGTTTACTTTGAGACGTTTCTTATTACGAGATATTAAGGTGGATTGACATTAACTTGGGTAGTGCATAATGTATGAAACGGTCACGTTACAACAAGGACCCATATTTTAATACCATCTTGGGGCTAGTACCAATGTATGCGAAAATTGTCAAAGCTTTTTCTTCAATATTGCGAGCTCTATCGCGATTTTGACAGACCTGAAACAAAACGATCCAACGAGTCTTTGAAGAATGTTGTCACTGAGATAAACTCTTTGAAGCAAATAGTCGATCGTTTCATCACCAAAAGTGGACATGTGGCGACTGTTTTGCTTGAACAACGCATTGGTACACCACAATTTGCCTGCAGGACGTCTTCTGATGGGTCATCTACAGTATAGCAATCACCCCACCCAATGACTTAATTTTGTTCCCGCAGTCTGACTCCAAAAATGCATGTTTTAGAGATATCCCAATCGGAGTGGAATAAGTGCTTCTACAACATAGCAATATTGTGAACTTTGGAAAACAATAAAACAGTTTTGAAGATAAATATTCACATTTTCATTTTTAAGCCATCTACACAATAATGGTAACCGATATTATATAGTTTCAAATTATGTAGGTCTATTACAGGCATTTGTAAGTTTTGGCATGTAATTAAATACAATTTAAATGCGATCATTATCATATATTTATTGGGTTGACCCAAATGGTATTTTGATCAATCAGCAAGAGAAAAGTTTGTTCGCAATACTAAAAACATAAACATATTTTAATTTTTTTTACATTTTAAAATTTTATAAGTCTTTAGTAAATGTACATTTTGCTATAGAGCACCGAATCTATAACACACTGACATTGAATACCAAATTAAAAAAAAATGTTAATGTATGTGTACTCAATTCAAATTACTATGGCTTACTATAGTTCCTTATGTCCGCTGGTCCGTTCATGGCAATCATTTCAATCCTTGCACCTTTATGCCATATGTACATAGATATGTTTGTGTGTGTGTATCATCACATGCATCTGCAATTCATTTCCAATGTGGCCAGAAAATTTTAATTTCGTTACCAATTAATCTTTCAACGTATGTTTCCGACATTCATTTTGTATATGTGTCGTCGTCATCGTCGCTCAAACATATTGGTCCTGTTATCTGTGTCTATCTGGGTGTATGTGTATGCCTGTGCAATACAAACGAATTCGGATTAAGTATCCTTTCGGACTTGTCCACTCCACTCCCAGGGATATCAAGTGTGAGTGTTTTTGATATCGGATAAATTGCCCAGAATCAGTAATTTATCATTGCACACATTAGCCGAGTAAATGGGGCTAATTTGATTTGCAGGTTTTTATAGGACATCGTCTGTATGGGCTTTTCAGGTTGATAGTGAAGTGAAAAAAAGCAAAAAGCAAGAGTGATGTTTTTAAGAGAAAGTACATTCATTCGATGTGACATCCTGTAGATTTTAACATAGCATGGCATGTAGTGATACGTGGCGTATCACTACATGCCAAATGAAAACTTGGTGTTTATTTAGACCAATACATTAATTAGTTGCAAAAGTTTGCCATCACATCGGTAAATTCTATGACCAGTCAGGCATAAATTTTGTCATACATGTTTAGTATTGAAAATACTTTATTCTGAAGGTTTCAGTCGCATTTCCCACCTAGAGTTTTTAAAATTTAGCATGGTATTGGCATGGGATTCATCGGTCCAAGTTTTGATGTAGCTTCCATATAATGGTTGAGATAAGCAACCGAAAAGGACTGTAATTTGGAATTTCAAATTTTTAAAATGTAGATTCATGGTTTGTCATAGTCTCCATGTCCCGCCCGGACGATTAAAGAAATTGTGAAGACACTCCATATGGTGAAGGATATAAAAAATCGTTTCGGATGAACTAAACAATGATTTTTCTTTTCCAGTATTTTGTGTTTTCGATGAATACAAAATATCGATACCAAAAATAAGTAATGAGACGTTAATAAATAATGTGACATCGAGCTGTTAAAAATCGTCAATAACTGTAAAAATATCCTAAAAAAATTCATAACTTGTGACGATCATGGGTGTATGGCTATGACATTGAAACCGAATTCCAAAAATATGGATGCACTTTTAGTTATAGCTCCTATAGAACGGAAACCCTCAATCCCTCTATATTTGACAATGAAATTAATATCTCTATCTCTATATATATAAAAATTACATGTATGTTCGTGATCGCTAAACTCAAAAACTACTGCACCGATTGGGACCAAATTTTATATACATGTTCTATGATGCCTGAGGAGTGTTTCTGTGTAGTTTGAAGTTCATCCGACAGATGGTGCAATATTTAGTTTTTTGTGTTTTTTCACCATAATTCAAGAACTATTGCACCAAATTTAACCAAACTTTACGTATATGCTCTATGAGGCGTGAGTAGTGTTTTTGTGTTTAATTTTAAGATCGTCCGACAGATGGCGCGATATATAGCTTATTTGTGTTTTGCCCGATTAAATATTGGGTGCTTAATCGGCGTGTGCCGACGTTAAGTATTCAGACACCGACTAAAATATAACCTGTTTTTGTGAAAAGCGCGTGGGAGTCAAACGAAAAAAGAATAACTTATCAAATTGAATTAAAATTAATTTAAACCTATTTATAAAAAATGATGTAAAATGTATAGTAACTCATCAATCTTTCAGTTGTCTGTAATTGAAGTGGGAAGGCTTTTATGAAAGAACATTTTTAGAAAAATACGCGAAAATCTTGCAAAACTTGCCTACAATTATACCATAAAGTGATACTATACCGATAATTTAAGGAGAATTTCCTTATCCTGCATGAAATACCGAATTAGAGGCAATATATACTTTCAAAGTACATAAAATCGTACAATACCAAAATATGGACCAAATATAAAAGGCGTAAAAACGTGCAATAATACATTATAAAACCAACACATGGCATCTATCCCACACTATATCTGAATCATTGGCTGAAACTTGAACGTATTCTAAATAGGAACTAATAGCTTTATTTGTGAAAAATGTCAATACATATACATAGGATATACCAAAATGTCCATTACAAATACCTTAACAATTTAGCTAGCTATGGAAAGTATTATTGAAAATTGTATTATATTCGGGAAGTATATATGTATATACATTTGAATCCTACATGGAGACAATTGCGCATAAGGTGCTCAGGTGTCTGACTTATATGTGCCTTTATGGTTCCTCAAGTATATTTTTCATGATGTGAAAAATGTTTCCATTGAGAACGACTGCACAAATTTGACTCAAATTTTCCTTCGATTGTTTCTAAATGCAGTGAGAAGAGTTTTACCAAAGAAATTTTTGAGAAAAACATAAAAAGTTCAGAGATTGGAGTAATTGAACACAACACACCTTTTATAGAACTTATGCATGCCAGTTTTGATGTGATCAAAATAGGAATAGTAATTATCTTTGAGATAAGAGAAGTTAGATCAAAACTTGACCTTCTAAACTGAATTAAATGTTCGGATGTGGGAGTTACACCTAAATATAAACTGAAATACCACACATACTGACGTAATTTAATATTTAACAATAACAATATTACTTAATATACTAGAGTATTAGTAAATGAAGGTTTACCGTC